GCAGTTAGGCTTTACTGGCACTGGGGACTGCCAGTTTCAGCCACCAAAGTCTCCACCAGGATCTACTATAGGCAGCCCTGAGACAGTTGTTAGATTTGTAATTGACTCTTCCCCTCTTTAAAAATATTTTAATGACAAAACAATACAAGCTCATTCTAAAAATAACTCAGAACAAAACAAGACAATAAAGTCACAACCTTCTATAAGTTTGTTTTGTTTTGTTTTGTTTTGTTTGGGGGGGGGGTTGGCACCAGGGATCAAACTCAGGACCTCACACTTGCCAGGCAGGTGCTATGCCACTCAACTAAATCCCCAGCCCTTCTAAGTATTTTTTTAACTAAAAAAATCTAAGCTATTAGGCAGAGATGAAACAAGTTTTTAAATAAATAGCTAAGGGGGCCAGGGTGTGTAGCTCAGTGATAGAGCACTTGTCTGGTACGTGAAAAGAAAGAAAGGAGAAATGTAAGAAAAGAGCGAAGAGCAACTTAGAACTTCTCTTGCTAATTTTCAATCATAATATGGCTCACACCTGCTATATCCCAGCAATTGTATAAACATTTATGTACTCATGGATTACGGTATAGCTATGTGTAGTGGAGTTGGGACTTAAACGCAGACATTCCAGCTCCACAGCACAGTAATCCTAATGTCGTTTACCCACATCATAGTGTTATTTGGCCCTGCTCATGGGTCTTTTGTTTCTCCAGTCCTGGGGATCGAACCCACCCCTTTGTGCATGCTAGGCAAGCACTGCATCACTGAGCTACACCCCAACCTCATTCATGCTTTTGAATCTGATGAAATGTTTCTTTACAACTCAACTAGAATTCCCATCTTGCAATATTTGCCCATGGTCTAGGGCAGGGGTTGGGACCAGGACTGCACATCCATGAGAGCATAGGTCCCTCCCTGGGGACAGTTTCTCAAGCTTTTGGGGCCATTTTCCCCCACAGGTATCCCCCACCCTTCATTTGAGGACATTGCTGTTCCTAAAAATGTGCCAGTACCTTCTGTCCTTCCACATGAGGACTTCAGGCCTGGGTTTCAGCGATGCCACCAGAACTTCTTGCCTTCGGCTGCCCTGGCTAAGGTTTTCATGCTCTGGGAACTGTTGGTGACATTCATACATCAAAGACTTGGAGAGTAGCTATCGTCTTATTCTCTATCTCTTTGCCATTTCACCCCTCAACCTGGGCTATCCTTCTGTTTTGTGGCCTGGATTCTCCATGCAGATAAGGAGACTGAGGGTCAGAGAGGTGGCATGACTGAGCTCATACAGCTGCTGCATAGCCCGCTTGGGAACTGAGCCCAGGTCTTTCTACCTTCAAAGCCCATGCACTTGACAGTGTATTATGGTGTCACTCCATTGTCTCATTTCACAATACATGTCTGTGCCAAGAGTAATTAATGTCTTGCTGCTTCTCTTCCTTTCTCGCTTTTCCCCACTTGTTAGAGGCCCTGTCATATGGTCCTTAACCCAAGATGCCTGCCCTATCTCCACAGCTGGAGATGTCAGGGGACATTTAAGGGAACATGTAAGTGACCGTCTTTGATGAGGCATTTCTTCATTGCAGTCCCTCCGTAGTGTGTCTCTTCCCTTGACTTAGGCCTTCTCAGCACCATGCTGGGGTGGGGGCCATAGATTCCCTGTGCCCTCTTCTCTGTTTTGAGGGTAGCATGGTGTCTTTTGTGTTTTCCTGATCTTTGGAGAACCCGGTGCTGTTGCACAATTAGTAGCCAAGGGCCACACACCATATACCAATGGACCAGCCTTTTATAACAGAAATGAGCAAACAAGGCTGACAAGGAGAAAAATTTGTCTTGCAAATGGGGCTTCTTGGTCTGTCTCTTCTTTTATGCATTTTGGTTAGAGATTCAGTTTTTACTGAGTGAAAGAAAACACAAAGGTGATGCTCACCGGCAACCTATAGTCTGCCACGGTGCTGGGGATGATAGGGAGTGGTGGGGACTGGGGCAGATGGGGAGACAGCCCCCTCCAAATCGGACCCACTCTTCCGTCCCAGCTACTTCTGCCAGGTAGAAATTTAGGCCTGACATAGATGGATAATATGATTTTTCAAGAAAAGCTGAAAGTTGAGATTTTTGTAGAAAATCTTGGGATTCTTGGACACTGGTAACTGCTTAAATGTTTTTCAATATTTTCTCTAGCCAAAACAGACTAAAAATATTAACAAGCTGACAAAAACAAGTCTGCAGATGGTGGATTGTACAGTTGTAGTCCCAAATGCCTGATTAAGAGACCAGGGCAGTAAGTCTCCTTAACTCATCACACCCAGCACCTTCCGAGTGCAGTGGCCCCATCAGAATCCCTAGGGTGACTTAGGAAACTGCAGAGATTTCAGGGCCTGGGGGATCATAGCTATAGATCTGTAGACTCAGGATCCCTGGGTTGGGCCCTGGGTGCCTACAGTTTTTCAAAGTACTGTAGGTGCTGCTCTTGGGCAGCCAAGTTCATTCCAGGGAAAGATTTCCAAACTTGTCTCATGGTCAGAGATCCCCCAGGCTACTGATAGAAGAACAGCTTCCTAGTCCTGCTTTCTGGCAATGCTGAGTCAGTGAGCCAGGCAGGGATGGGGCCTGAGACGTTTTTAAAGACATTCCTGTCCAGGAAGTCTGGAAAATCTTTGCACTCGCCTCCCTGAAGCTCAGTGATAGAAAGACTTGCTCAGAGCCCCAGTCCACCCCACCCGCCAGGGACTCCCAGAGAAGGCTCTTTGGGGCCTGCCCACCAGGGCAGCTGTGAACAGTGTAAGGCCTACAGCAGCAGACGTACAGCTGGCATATGTAGGGAGCTCTGTGTACTCCTGACACACAGGAGACATGGAGAGGGCAAATTTGGCTCTGCAGTGTGGCTAGGGGAAGCCTCCAGCTTAGGCCCAGCCTCCCAGCTTTGGCAAGCAGCAGCAGAGTCCTGGTGGGACATCTGGAGGGTGCCAGGCATTGTTGTCCCTGTTGTTACTAGTCAGGATCCAGGAGCTGGACATAAACCTGGTAGGTCTGGGAAGGACCTGGGGCTGAGAGAAACCTGATTGGTGAGTTTCCTGACTGCTTCTCAGAGCCTGGGGGCTGCAAAGGGAAACAGAGAATAAGAGCATGCACCCTGGGTACGCCACACCTCTCCAAAGCAACATTGCTCTAGTGTACGTAGGTGTCCATATGAGATTCTTTTTGAGATTAAGTACAATGGTCAAAGAAGTTTGAAAAACTTGATCTAACCCAATTTCTTCCCATTAATGATGGGGAAACCAAGGCCCCACCTCTGATAGACTGCTGAGAAAATAGAGGAGTATTACTGAAGAGACAAAAGCCATTCCGGAAATATAGACTCAAGTCTCAGCTCTGCCACGCTCACTGTGCCTTCAGACCTGACTGTCCACTTCTGTCAGCCTTCCTTCCTTTGCTTTCTCACCTGGGAGGCAGTCTAGGTTACAATGGTGGCAAACCTATGACACATGTGCCACAGTGGGCTGTTTGTATCATTGGAAGCTCTAAAAGGTTCGCCGTCACAGATCTAGATCTTTCTGTCAGTATCTGAACCTGGTGTCTGTAACCTAAGGACTACAAATTTCAAGGATCCATAAATTTGCTTTCAAAAACTACATCTCTAATTTTTCTAATCTCCAAGTGAAATTTATTATTTCCTTCAATTATGAATATTACCAACAAATCTCAATACATTAGCAGCATCTGTGATTTTGCTACCAGAAGGGAAAAAAACAACATTTTTCTTCTGTCATTAGAGTTGCAGGTAACTCAAGATAAGGTACACACTCATCAATACTTCAAAGTTACCATAGTTCCCAAGTTTCCCATTAGGTCTTATTTAGCAAATACTAAAGGACCATGTAATTTCAGGCTCTGTTTTTTTTCTTTTTTCTTTTTCTTTTTTTTTCCTCTACTGGGAAAGGAACCCTAGAGCTGCTCCACCACTGAGCTACATCCCCAGCCCTTTATATTTAAATTTGAGACAGTCCAGGTAAGTTGCTTAGGCTGGCCTCAAACCTGGAATACCCCGGCCACAGCATCCAGAATAAGCTGAGGTTACAGGCCATGATCCCCTGCAGCTAGCTAGCTCTTGCATCTTGAAGAAACCAGGGCAGCTCCTTTGAAGTAGAGGGTTCAGAAGTCCTTCTGGGTGTCCTCTATCTCCCGAACCCTGGCGGCTCAGAGATACTTGCACCAACCTCGGGCAGGTGACAGCATGTTTTATAGTAACAACTGTAGCCATCACTTTGACCTCCAGGCTCAACCAAACAGCAGCCCAGGCACTGTGTGGAGAAACAGTTCATCCACTCCTCACAGCCCCAGGAGTAAGTTCCATTATTATCCCCATTCTGCAGATTCACTCAACGAATATTTCCACTTACAGCACTTAAAATCTTTACTTTTCTAGAATTTACACTGAGAGTAGGGGGAGAAAACAAATAGAAAACATAATGAAAATGTGTGTTGGAGTGCTGGCGGGTAGGGGTGGTATCAGCATTTTGTCTCACTGAGGCGGAGTGGAGCCCGGGCAAGCAGGTGAAGTTAGCCTGTGGAAAACCAGGAAGAGTGCTCGGGTGGGAACAGGGATGCAAATCCCTAAAGCAGGAGCCCGTGTGGCCTGGCCAGGAACCTCAAGGAGGCCATGGCTGAGCGCAGGGATGCAGGGAAGCATAGCTGGAGGTGAGGCTGAAGCCGTTCCCTCCTTGGGCCTCTTGCGCCACCACCAGAACTGTGTCTGTCGCTCTGAGAGGGAAGCAGCTGCAAGTTCTGAACAGAGGAGGACCTTGGACATCAGATCAAGATCCTTCTGAAGGAACCCTGGCTGCAGTACTGGAAGCTGCATTGTGAAAAAGTCCTAGGATGGATGAGAAGACGAAGTCACTGGAGATGAAATGGCAGAGTTAGTGGACACGAGGCAGCACCTGGCCCCAGGCATCCTGGCCCAGGGCCCTCTCGCAGGGTCTCACAGTCATGGTTCTCTCTTCTCTCATCAGGGCCCACACCTGACAGCCTGGAGTCATTGGATGTCGTGCACCCCGTGCGTGTGGATGCAACTGGAACCTTCCTGTCCTTCGAGCTCTGGCCACGCATGGTGAAGAAGCGGGCAGCTCCAGATGCAGATTCAGATTCAGGGCCTGCACCCCATGCCACACCCACCTTCTTCCAGCTTCGCTATCGCGGACTCGAGCTGCACTTCAACCTCTCAGCCAATGCCCAGCTGCTGGCACCAGGCTTTGTGCTCGAGACGCGGCGAACGGGTAACCTGGGCCACACGCATATCCAGCCCCACATGCCTGCCTGCCACCTGCTGGGCCATGTGCAGGACCCACAGCTTGAGGGCGGCCGAGCAGCCATCAGCGCCTGCGATGGATTGGTGAGTCGGGGACCCTGCCTGGCCTCGTGGTTTGGTCACGCACAGTGCCTTCCTCTGCTGGCCTTGTGATAGCACAAGGCCTGTTGTTCACTAGGACAGCAGGTTCTAAAGTTTTACCTGAGCCAGAATCACCCTTGGGTTTGTTTTTTGGTTTTTGTTTACCAGTACCAGGGATCGAACTCAGGACCTTGCACTTTCGAGGCAGGCACGTTGCCACTGAGCTAAATCCCCAGCCCCACCCTTGGGTTTTGACAAGCAGGTGTGGGAGGGGAGCTAGCACTTGCCCTTCTGAGAATGTCCTGGGCAACACTGATGCTGCAGGACCCACCTGGAACATCACCATGGAGCCGATCAGTCGACCCTCTTGGTTTGGTGTCGGCTGGGCCTGCTCCTCCATAGACCCCCTTGGTCTCCCTGGACAGGCCCGCGTCTTAGTCCCTTTACTCGTCACTGAGACACAATCCCCAACACTCACAACTTAAAGGTGAGATTTATTTTGGCTCCTTTCAGTCTGTGGTCTGCAGGCTCCAAAGAAGAACGATAGCAGAGGGGTCTGGTAGACAAAATGCTGCTCACCTCATGGCAGACTGAGGCCAAAGGCAAAGACAGCAGAGGGCATAGCCGGGGCAGAAAATAGACCCTCTCAGGCCAGGCCCCACCTCCTAAGAGCAAGTCAGCCATAAGTCCCATCATCCAGTCACCTTCAACAAGCCCATCTCCGAGCACACGAGGCTCTTGGGGGACATCTAGATATGAGTCATGACCCTTCCCCTTGCTCTTTAGCCAATCTGCAAGGGTCTTCAGGCCCCTCAGCCCCTCTGCCCAGACCAGAGCTCTGGGGAAAGTAGGCCTCAGTTTCCGGGCCTTGTACCCTAATTGCCTCCCCTGCTGCAGCTGTCAGAACCACTGGTGCTAAGGGTGGCACAGGGCCCCGCTCTGCTCCTGCTTTGTGCCCAGTGCTGCCCTCCAGCTCTGAGGATGGGGTGTGGGAGCAGGGAAGATGGGCATATGTTCTTGGCCATCCACTGTTCCCATAGGGCCCTCACATAGATGTCTCACGAAAAGGATGAGCTGTGGTGGCAGAGGTCCTAAGGACAGGGCAGAACCCAGCACAGGCTGCAGAGAGCCCAGGCCTTGGAGGCCCCATACCCTGCCTCCTCATCCATGGAATCCTTGCCTGCTCAGTATCACCTTGTGGACCCTGGGCAGCATCTGCGCATACCATGCATGGTTCCCATTTTACAGATGAGGAAATGGCTCAGAGAAGACTTTTCCTTATATCTCTGGTCATCCAGGGCTAGAGACTGCATGCAAGCTGGGTCTCTGGTGTCCAGAGTGGATGCACTGTCCTACCCTCCAAGCTCCTTGGGCCTTTGTAACCCAAGCAAGGTAGATTTGGTGCCAGAGAGAAGGGATCCAAGGGATCCACCTTCATCCCTGCTGAGGTTCTGAACATCCCAGGGAGGTGGGCTGCCTTAGGATGCTTCCCATTCCCTCCCTTTTCTCAGAGGATGTACCAAGGCACCTCTGCCTGTTTCCCATCTCTAGGCAGCCCTGGGCCCAGGGAGTGGGCTATCCTTGTGGCCGTGGACATCCCAGTGGCTTGGATGTGGACAGGGCTGCTTGTGGAGTGACCACCGAATCAGGGAGGCCAAGGGCAGATCAAAAGGTCTGGCCAGCTGGGAGAGGCACAGTGGCTGGAGAAGCAAAGTAGCCTGAAGGCATGGGCATGGGCTGCTGGGCTGGAGCCCACTTACAGGACTCTGCAAGGAGCACTGTCATCAGATTTAGGTGCAGACCATTTCTCCCTCCTCGTGGGGTGTGCCTGGGGCACAGCATCCTAAGAGAGGGGCTCTAAACTCCACTTCAAAGGCCCTGGCTGTGCAGAGGGCAGGAAGGACATTCCAGCAGAGAACAGAGTGTAGACAGAGGTCCAGAGGGAGAGAAGTGCTATGCCTATCTGTGGCAGGCACAGGGTGGGCTCAGTGGGGTGGGATGGGTCTCGGGTGGTAGAAAGGGCAGCCAGGCACCAGCCCTCCCTGTGTGACCCTGTTGCTTCCTCCCCAGAAAGGAGTTTTCTGGCTGTCTGGTGAGGACTACTTCATTGAGCCCCTGGATGGGGCTCCAAACCAGCCTGGCCATGCACGGCCCCACGTGGTGTATAAACACCAGACCACTGAGAGGTGGGCAGAGCAAGGAGACATCCAGGCTTCACGTACCTGTGGGGTACAAGGTATGCTCATCCTCTGGCTTGTGGCACTGGAGGGTCTGGGGACTTGGAAGGCCTTTCTGGAAGCCTCTCAAAATATCCTTGTATTTCCCTTGGACACAAGTGACACAGAAGGACAGGCAGACATGTTGCCATAGTCTGGGTCTTTAGATGCCTCTGGATCTGGCCTGACCTGCTCTCCCCACCTCACTCCACGTCTCTCTCCTTTCCCCCTCCACATGGCTGTGGCATCACTGGCTCTGCCAGCCACTATTCCTCACATGTCCTAGCCAGCTCCAGCAGGGCCCTTGGGTAGACACTCCCTCCCCTCCTTGTTCTGGGTTCAGAACAACTGGGGACCTAGAGCACAGTACCCAGGGTCCCCTCTACAGAATGGCCGTAGTGCTAGCCAGTCCAAGAAAAAGAGCCAACCACTGAGGGCTGCTGAAGTTTGAAGACTGCTTGGCTAACACTAACCCCAAGCTGCCCACAACTCAGGTCTCTGTTTGCTGGAAAAGTTGTCCACACAAACATTCCTTCTCTGCATCAATTTCCCCAGCTTTGTGGGTGTGATTCCTCAGGGCAGCGGATCCTCAGTGGGGTCAGCCAGGTTGAGACTTGGTCCTCCGGGGTAGAGGTTAGACCAGGAGTCTCTGCATGTGGTGTCAGGGAAAGAAAGCCAAGGAGATGGGCCAGCCTCTTATGGACAAGGTCACCCTGGAAGTACATCAGCTAATCATATTTCTAGGAGTAATCCTGGAAATTGGGATCAGAGAAGGGAAGTAACCAGGCCAAGGACACACAGCACAGTCTGGGGCAGCCCCAGAAAGGGAATTGGGCCTCTCCCTTCTGATTCAATTCTGTTCACACTGTGCCAGAGACAGCTCATTTAGGAAAGGCCCTGGGGACATGGGCCCTGGGCCATCTAACCCCACCCCATTGGGTCCTTAGTGTCCCCAGAGCTGGAGCGTCAACAAGAGGACTGGGAGCAGCCACAGCCGGGGAAGCAACAGCGGCAGAAGCGTTTGTACCATGGCTCAGTCAGCAAGGAGAAGTGGATAGAAACCTTGGTGGTGGCTGATACTAAAATGGTGGAATACCATGGGCAGCTGCAGGTGGAGAACTATGTGCTGACCATCATGAATATGGTGAGGCCATCACGGTGATAGTGATGCTATTTGGTGGGGGAGGCAAGGTATTGGCAGTAGGTGTCATTCAAGGTGGGTGTGGGGCAGAGTAGCTGGCAGGCTGCACCCCAGACCTGGGTCTAGGCCTCAAACAGGAAGGAGGGAGTTCCAGGTTCCCAAGTCCATGGGGGGACACGACCTGGCAGGGGCACCAGGAGAGAGCAGCAGCACAGGGCACTACCACAGGGCTCCTCAGACATCATCCAGCTGCATGACACATGCCCCTCCCCTGCTTTGGCCACGACAGTGCCAGGTAGGATGCTGCTTCAGGACACTGTGGGTGCCATTCCACTCACTGGCCCAGCTGGCACTTGGGAGGGGAAAGGGACACCAAGAAGGCCACTGTCCTGTGCTGCCTGGGAGCTCACAGACCATGTGGTTCATTCATCCTGCCCTGAAGTAAACCCTCTCCTGTGTCCAGACCTGGGCTTGGTGCTGGTAACACAGATGTGCCCTGCCTAGACTTGAACGTGCATTAGAGGGAGAGGGATCTACACAATTCTTGGTCAATCATCTGGGAACCTTGAGCAAGTAACTCATCTGTGAATGAGGAAGGAGGGTAGGACCTCATGGGGCTGAAAATCTGCTCTTGGTCTGACATGACACTTGAGTCAACAGGGCCCCAAGAAGTGAGTGGCATGCAGGACACCCAGCAAAGCACTGGAGAGCTGCATGGGCACCAAGTCTGCTATGGTTCCCTGGTGAGGGGCACTGTGGATCCCAGAGCTGGATGTCGGGCCAGCAGTGCCCTCCCCAAGGGGCAGATGGGAGCCTTTGAATAGCCAGGGTACTCCTGAAGCCCCTGGAAAAAGATCTCAGCCCTAGCACTCTCAGCAGCCCCATACAGGCCACTGCATAGCCCTGTTTCTCTCCAGCTATGAGCTCCCACAATCCAACCATCTTCTGAAAGCCCTACCTATAAGCACATGAGGATCTTGGAGGACATTTTCATATAAACCATAACATTCCACCCCTATCCCCTGAAAGACTCAGGCACATCCCTTTTTGTAAAATGCATTCAGTTCATCTCTAAGAATTGCCAAAGCTCTAACAGTCTCAATATTGCTGAAAAGTCCAAAGTCCCTTCTGAGGCTTAAGGCAAACTCTTTGCTATGAGCCCCTGTAAAAATCAAAAAAAGTTATGAAACACCACTGCCATACAATGGCACAGGGTAAACATTCCCCTTCCAAAAGGGAAGAATGGAGATAAAAAGCAATGGGACCAAAGCAACACTGAAACACAACAGGGCAAACATTAAGTCCTGTAACTCTGTGCCCAGCACCCAGGGCAATCTGTGGTGTGATGTGAACTCCAGATGAGTTGGGCAACCCCACCTCTAAGGCATTGCCAGTGATTGTAGCCCTCATGGCTTTTCTCTTGGGGTGGCTCTGCTGATTGCTTGTGGCTTTCCTCAGACATTCCCTGTTCCTGGCTTCTCCATCTTCCTGGAGTCTCCACTGTGCTTTTGGCTTCGCTGTCATAGCTTCATGTACAGCCCTCTCGGGCACACAGCCTGGCCTCCCAGGCCTTCTGAAATCTGGTGGGAAGCCTCCATGAGTGCACAGCTCATATTATTCATGCCTATAAAACCAGCACCACATGGACGATGCCAAGGTCTGCAGCTGCCAGGTCTAACAGTAGCCAGGCCCTTTTGCCTCATGGCTGCAGGGGCCTCCAAGTGCCTGGATGTTTGAGCACCATGAACAGAATCCCAGGAAGCCAGCCAGTTTCCTAGGTGTCTTTTCTCTAACAGGGTACTCTGGGGCTCTCGTCTCAAAGCAAAGTCTCACTTTTGCAATTTTGAGCCTGAGAAGGTTGGGGTCTTGCTGATTCCTTACATGCCATTAATCCATTTTTCCTATCATCCTGATCCAAAATACTTGGCTTCTTTTTAATGGTGATCTTTTCATCCAGGCTCTCCTGTGCTCCATATTCACAGACCTCAACTTTATAGGACCTTCCTTTTCAATGGGAACTTCTCAAATCACTCAGCTGTGCTGTTTGCTCATGATTTTCAGTGTAGAGCAGGCCAAAAGCCCTCAGCAGTACCCCTGCCATAGCCTAAATGTTGGGCTGCCTTGAAACTTCCTCTGCCAGATTAATTAATCTTCTTCTCTTAATCTCTGTCTCCTGCAAAGCCTCAGGTCATGAGCAAAATGTAGATAAATTTTCTACCAGAGCATAACATACATGGTCTGGAGTCCACATGCCAGTGGAGTCTTTGTTCCCAACTGAAACCTTCTGAGCCTGTTCTTTACTGTCTACCTTCTTTTTTTTTTTTAGTACTGGGGATCAAACTCAGGACTTCCCACTTGCCCAACAGGTGCTGTGCCACTGAGCTACATCCACGACCCTGCTGTCTACCTTTTTTTTTTGGTACCGGGAATCAAACTCAGAATCTTGCACTTGCAAGGCAGGAGTGGCGCCACTGAGCTAAATCCCCAGCCCATACTGTCTACCTTATCAACATTCTGGTCTTCTGAGCTCTGCCCAGAATCTCCAGACCTTTCCAAACTCCTCCTGTGAACCATTTCCAAAGGCTTCTGAACCACCTGGTCAGGTAGTGTCACAGCAACAACCTCATTTCTGTGGTATCAAATTCTATCTTAGTCACTTTCTTCATTGCTGGGACAAAATACCCAACATCCACAATTTAAAAAGCAGAGGGATTTTTTTGGCTCATGTTTCAGTCTGTGGTGAGCTGGCTGCAAGGCAGGACAGCATGGCAGAGGAGAAGCTGCTCATATCATGGTGGACAGAAAGTGGAGAGAGAAGTTGGGAACTAGGACAAGAGATAAACACTTCCAGACCATGCCCCAGGGACCTGCCTCTTCTGCCCAGACCTACCTCCTAATACCAAGTCATCTATAAGCCCTCATAATCCAATCACTTTACAAAAGCCCACCACTGAGTACATGAGACTCTTGGGGGACATCTAGATATAAACCATAACAAGCCACATCTCTTGGACAGGTGGCTGGCCTGTTTCATGACCCCAGCATTGGGAACCCCATCCACATCACCATTGTGCGCCTCATCCTGCTGGAAGATGAAGAGGTGAGAGGCTATATGGCCCCATTCTGCCTCCTGGCGGTGGGCACTGGCTACTGAGCCCTCCTGCCTATACCCTGAGTTGCCCTGGATGGAAACGCACAGCAAAGGCCCCTGGGCCTGGACAGTTTCCTCCATTACCCTTTAGTCCCTAACTCTCCCTCTGTCAGGTCTCTGGTGCCAGGGTCCCAAGAGTACCTGCAGGAAGGATGGAGGCTGGAGGCTGACTGCTTGTCCTCCCACTCCCCCCTGGCCTCCTGCTTCTTGCCTTTGTATGGTGAGAATTGGGCCTGTCCTGTGGGAGTCCAGGGCAGGCATGAGTGGTCACTGTCTCTGCCACAGAAGGACTTAAAGATCACACACCATGCAGATAACACCCTGAGAAGCTTCTGCAAATGGCAAAGAAACATCAACATGAAGGGGGACGCCCACCCCCAGCACCATGACACAGCCATCTTGCTCACCAGGTATACCTGCCATGGGAATGTGAGGGCAGAAAAGCTGCCCCCTGAGGGAGGAACTGAGGGTAGAGGGGCAGTGTGTCTGATCAGTTTGCACAGCTTTGGCCTGAAGCTGGATTCTATCAGCACTGGGGAGTCTTTCTATTTCACAGTAATTGTGGATTTGCATTAGGTTGTCAGAAACAATGCAGAGAGGCCCTGTCTCTCCTCCATGCCATTTGCCCACTGGTAACATGCTGCATGGCTGAAGTGCAGTATCCCAAGCAGGAGGTAGACATGGATATAGTCCACTTAGAGAGATCTTATCAGGCCTCCGTGTGTGTTTGCATGTGTGTGTGTGTGTGTGTGTGTGTGTGTGTGTGTGTATGCATTTGTGTTCAGGGCTGTGCACTTTATCACTGTGTAGGTTCAAGTGTCCACCCTCAGTCCAGATACAGAGCAGTTGCAACAGAAGGCTATCTTGTGTCACTTGTTTATGTCACAGCTGCCCGCCCATCCCCCACCTCTGGCATCTATTCATCTTACCAGAGGCCATGTGTTTAAGCTCCATGTGGACTTATTTTCCCTCTGCTGAATGCCGTGGCTTCTATCAGCACCTTAACTGAGACAGAAGCAAACCTGTTCTGGGCACGCGTCTGTACCCTAGGCCCACATGGTTGTTTGGTGGGTTGTGTGTGACTGAGGGCACCTGCTTCCCAGTGGTCACCTTGTTGGCCTGATGTCACAGAATGGCAAGGGGCGTCCTCCTCAAGTCCTCTCTTGGGTGAGCATGGGCCCTGCCTGGCCTCCTCTGAAGGCTGCATCTCTCCTCCTGTGCAGGAAGGACTTGTGTTTAGCCATGAACCAGCCCTGCGAGACCCTGGGCCTGTCCCACGTGGGGGGCATGTGTCATCTGAACCACAGCTGCAGTGTCAGCGAGGACACTGGCCTGCCGCTTGCCTTCACCGTGGCCCATGAACTCGGACACAGGTACCACACCTCTCCTCCCTGCCACCCCAGACCCCAGCTTCAGCTTCCTGACCCAGGGCACCAGCCAGCCAGATCCATAGGTCAGGAAATCCTGATGAAACTTTCTTGGGTGGGAGACCCAACTGCACCAGGCCACATATAGCTCCTGCACTGTCCTCATCCACCCCTCGGCCAGGCTGCTTCCCTGTTGAGCAGGAGGGAGGCATGCAGGGCATATCTGGGGCTGAGCTGGTGCGGACTTATTGGAAGGGGTTTGAGATGAGCCCAGAGCCCTTAGCTGTCCCTATTCCTTCTGCTCTGTGACCTGGACAAGTGCCAAGCTCCAGCACTCTGTGTGCTCCCTATAGATTGAGGGGTGGATGCAATGAGTCCAAGATGCCCCATCTGACACCTGGGCCTAGGGCTCATCTAGAGCATGGCTCATGCCCTCTGCCATCTGTGCCCAGGCTACTTAGCTGCTGAATATAGCAGCACCTTAGATGTCCAGCAGGCTGGTCAGAGCAGGACAAGGCGTGGAGTCACCCACTCAGATGTTCTGGTGACAGCCACACCTAGGGCTGTGAAGCCATTGGTAGAAGAGCTCTCTGCCCCATTCTGCCACTTCCTAGCTGTTAATGGGCTCAGTTCTTAGCCCTCTGCCAGCAGTGTCAAGGACTGGGGAGATGGCACTTCTGAAAGATCCTCAAGAAATATTTTCCCACGTCCTTCCCGAGAGTGATCTCTGGAAACTTTTCTGGAAGGTGGTAGCTTGGATCTCTTGACTCAAGGACACACCATGGGACAAGAGATAGAGGGCAGGAGGCCATCTGCCTGCTGGCTCTTGGTGTGGGTGAGGTGCATGGCCATAACAGATTCCCAGCCATGCCACCTACTTTGTTAGCTACTTTGGGGGCACAGACAGCTGCTCTGGGTCCCTGGCCCTTGGGTCAAGCTCAGGCTAATGCACCTGACAGAAGAGCTCAGGGGACACCAGTTATCATACCCACATTGGGCACTAAGGAAATGGCTCAGAGAGGGCATGTGGCCATCATAAGGCCACAGAGCCATTCAGTGGCAGAGGCAGCCTAGGGGACCCTTGGGGGAAGGGCAGCCCATGGCCTCCCCTGGCTCACCCGCCCCTGGGGCCTGTGCTCTCACACAGTTTTGGCATGCATCATGATGGAAGCGGCAATGACTGTGAGCCTGTTGGGAAACCGCATTTCATCATGTCTCCACAGCTCCTGTACGACTCCGCCCAGCTCACCTGGTCCCGCTGCAGCAGCGAATACATCACCAGGTTCCTCGAGTAAGTCTCTCCCAGCCTGGGTGCTCTGTCCTGACCTCCCAGTCACAGTGCAGGGAGGGAGGCAGGTGGTGGCAGCACAGTGCCAGTGAGGAGGGACACACAGCCCAGATAGGAGCAAGCCCAGGGCCCCTAGGTCCCCCTGGAGGGGACTCCTGTGCAGGAGATCATGGATACAGGTGAGAAAGAAGGATGCTCCCAGCAGAGGACACAAGCAAGTCCAACTGTCTGGCCAGGAACTCCTTTCCCACCTCCTCTCTTGGGTTAGCAGGCAGCCTGGCCTCCTCTGAGGCTGCCTCTCTCTGCCTGTGCAAGAAGGACTTGTGTGTAGCCAGGCATATGTGATGTTCTCAGAGAAGTGCAAAGTCATAAGAAGGGCTCTGGGCAAAGGCTGCAGAGGGTGTGAAGATTGAAGGCCACACGTCCCATTAAGAAGCAGGGGAACTGAAATAGCTTTTTCCTTTCTTTTATTGTCTCTTAATTTGCTAAGATATTTCCTAATATTTTACATAAGAAAAAATTTAATTCCCATCTTCACGTGCACAGTTCCCATTTTGCAATGCTTGGGATAGAACCCAGGGTTCTGCACATACTAGACAAGAGCTCTGCCACTGGGCTGCTCCCCCAGCCCCAAATGCTAGTTTTAAATGCTCAAGTATGCATAAGAATATGCACAATTCATCTTTCAGCACACACATTTACTGGCCAGTGGAGATGCTGCTCAAACTCACTCAGTTATTTCCAGAGTTATTTTTTTCCTTAATATGTGCACTCTGCCTTCAGTGTACTGATGAGTAAAGAGAGACCGCAAGCAGGAGCTCTGCAGTAATCTTTCTTTCCTTTCTCCTATGTCACCCTTGTTAGTGAAGTGACTGACTCCAACCAGCAAGGAACCCAAGTGAGAATGGGTGACAAGGATCCTGTCGTTTCTGTTGTTTAGGGTCATTGCCTTCTTTCTGCTTTCGAAGCATGACTGGATATAGCATAAGGCCTCTGCTCTGTCCATGTTCCTTTCTCTGTCACTGTCAACGTGATGAATGTATCTTTACACACTTGGTTGCTGTCTTACTGACTGACCTACATGTTGTGATCTGCCAGAACTCTGTGCTCAGGGGGGCAAAGATGTGGCAAGGACAGTGGGCAGATATGGGTGTGTCTCCTCTGCTTGTGCCCAATCTTCCATGTCCCACGGGACCTTACTTAACAAAGCTTGAGTTCAGAGACCCTGAGAATTCAAGATAGTGACAGCAGAGCTTTTGGTCACCTGGTTGTCCTTTAGAAATAGCTTGCCAATTAAAAATATTACAGGTCCTTCTTGCCTTAAAGAAAGAATTGGATGTGACAAGCTAAACGATGTCAAAAGTTTATTTGAAAAGTGAGAGATGAATGAGGTAAGGAAAGAACTAGCTCTGTAAAGCAAACTTGGGCTGAACAAAGAGAGGAAAGGATAAAAGCAAAAATCAAAGTACACTCTACATCTAGGAAACAGACTAGACGCAGAGTGGGCTACCCTGAAGAATCACAGTAGTGGGCTCCTCATGCATCCCATCTCTTTTATGCCATCCACATCTCATAAGAGCCCATAAGAAGTTCGACATACAAGGTCCTGAGAATTATTTGGCACTGACCTGGGATCTTGTAGTTGACAGGTCCTACTTATTTCCCCAACCAGCTTTGCCATGCCCTATCTCCTGTATCATTTCCCTCTAAAAGACAAAAATTCTATAAATCTTGATAAGGTGTTGAAGGAGCAGTGGTCTCTGTCTTCTATATCTTCCTCAAGCTGGAAGGGGCTGTAGACCCTAACTATTAGGGATTATGTACTCTCCAACTACCTTGGGGTACTATGGCTATGTTGAAGAAAAAAGAACCTGTCAGAAAATACTGAGAAAAAAGTTAGTGACCCTCAAGCTGACTGTGTGAAGGGAGAAAAAAAAACTATTAGCTCAAATGTGAAGAGCAGGTCAGATTTCCATGCTTCCTGTAGAGAAGAATGTATATTAGGTATGTCAGATAAAGTATCAAGAGTCTGAGAGCCATGGCCTTAGCAATATCTTGTTTGTTTATCTGTAGCAGCACTGGAGTCTTGCCTTTTGAAGAGAAATCTCAAGTCTTCCAAAGGTTCATAGAAGTAACTTTTTCCTTTTAGATGATCTTGTTCTTTAGACAGTTCAGGTGGGACTAGTTTTAATCTAGAAAGATGAATCCAATTATCTATCTCTGCTACCTTTAACTGCAGTGGGTGTTGCAAGGATCACTGAAAAGAGGCCTTTTCATTTTGGCTTTAACTGGTCTGCTGGTGTTCCCTCTCTCTAAATTTTCACAAGCACTTGGTCTCCAGGGTAGACACTAGGTGGTCCCCCTGGGCCAGGAGCTGGCAGGACTTTGTTCCCATACATTTGGATAGCTCGTTATACTTGGCCCAAATTGACGAGATACAGTTAGAGTCTTGTAGTCTCTGAGTCTACTGTCATATCAGAGGATAGAAATGGGCTTTTGTATAACATCTCAAATGGGCTCAAACTTAGTCCAGTTTTAGGCATGTTATAAACTCTCATGAGTGCTATTGGTAGTAATTGGACCCAGGACTCAGATGTCTCCTGGCAAAGTTTTGCCAGGACTCACTTTAGGGTCTGGTTAGCTCTCCCTACCTTCTTGGAATGAAGGTAGTTCTTATTCCTAAAGCCTTTGCCACTCCCTGAGTTATTTCAGAGGTAAAAGAAGGTCCATCGTCATTCTGGAGAGACTGGAGTAGTTCAAATCTGGGGATGATTTCTTTAAGAAGAACCTTGATTATCTCAGTAGCCTTTTCTGAACAGGGAGGAAAGGCTTTAATCCAGCCTGTGAATGTATCAATTAGGACCAACATCTATTTAAATCCTCTACATGGTGGCATATGGATAAAGTCTAATTGCCAGTCCTCTCTAAGGTATATTCCTCTCCTCTGTACAGGTTCTAATAAAGGAGGCAGTTTGGGATTGCCCAGGTTGTTGTAGGCACAAAGTGGACAAGCTCTGCAGACCTGTTGGGTGGTTGTCATGTAGCATCTCTTTCCACATGGAAGGAATCATGAAATGTTTTTATAGCTTTCCACTGTATCCCTTGGGGAAGGAACAGTTTGTTTCTAAATACCTCTAGAGTCCCTTTTTTTTAATTCCTCCTTGTCCTGAGGCCCATTTAATCTTCCTGGGGAATATAAACTGGTTTTAATGGTTCCTCAGGAATTTGCCTATGAGCCTTTTGATTTCCCAAGGAGATTTTAAACATGTCTCTCTGATGTCCTTTACAGTGCATGACTACAACCTGTCTGGAAAGATGGACTGCCTCTAAAAGTTGCAGAATTTCCTGTCTGTGTTTTATAGATGATTGTTTATTTGTCAGTAAGCCTCTTTCCAGATTGTGACATGGGCATGTAGCACCAGAAAGGCATATCTGGAGTCTGTATAGATGTTTAACCTTCTGCCTTTTCCTGACATCAATGCTCAAGTAAGACCTACCATCTCTGCCTTTTGAGCAAAGGTTCCTAGGGAAAGAGGCTGAGCTTCAGTGACCTGTTGTGAGCTGACAGCTGCATAACCTGCCTTACAATGTCCTTCTTGGACAAAGCTGCTTCCATCAGAACCATGCCTCCTCACAATCTTGGAGGGGCATGTCACTGATGTCCTGCCTGCTTGCATAGGTCTGGGAGATTACTTGTTCATGTTGTGTCCAGTGGTGGGTCTCTGAGTGACCCTCTGCCTCTCTTCAGGTCCCTTCCCTCATTCCAGCAAAGAATGGAGAAATGAGGCTCTTAGCAGAAAATGAGGGAGTATAGTGCAGAACAAAAGTTTATTTAAAGTGTGGCAAACCCAAAGAAAGCAGAAGGAGAGCTATCTTAGCAGCAGAGTAGTGCTACAAGATAGGGGGCATCCCACTTGGGATGGCTGGCCTGGTGAGTATGAGATATGTCCACACTTACAGGGGCAAATTGTTTTGTTAATTAGTGTGGGCTGAGCCAATCAGGGTTTTAACCTTTGTTTATGGGAAGGAGGACTAGGTCAGCATACTGTTAATGTGAGTAACACTTTCCTAAAGGATACAGTAGGGTACATTTTTTTCAAACACATGATTCACAATAAGCATGTGATAATCTTATAATTATCTGCCACAGATAAGCATGTGATGATCTTACAGTTGTCATAAACATATGATGATTTTAGAATGTTAGTCATCCATATTTTGCCTTGGGTTTTTTATGTCCCTTTAATCTGTCCCTACATTCCCCCTCTGACTTGATCATCCTACTTTCGTAGGATGAGCGACAAGGCAATGATTGTTCTGCCTGCTTCTTGCTGGTAAGGGGTGATGTGAAAGACAGGTGATATTGGTTGAGGAGGGATGATCTGGGTGGCTGTGGTGGAAGGAGGCTGGTAGCTTCATGAGGTTCCATCTGTAGGACCATCTGCATGTTGATAGCACTGATGCTATATAGACACAAGTGTGAAACTGCAGGCTGTTAGCCCGGTTGTTTGCTGTGACACAAGGGTCATGTCTCCTCTACTTCTTAAAGGGCCTGGTCCTGTATCTAATCCTGACTAGGGGTCTCACCTGTCCCTACATTCCTCCCTCTGGAAACGACCATCCAACTGCTGTTGGGCTCAGGGGTGACAACCACTCTAGCTACTTATGGCTGAAAGGGGGGATCTGCTGAAGCAGTGGATGATGTCCATTGGGAAGTTGATTGTATGGACCATGGTAGAGGGCAGGAGATGGCTGGCTCCACCTGGAGGACCATCTGCATGATCACTTGGAGTTTGGTATCCCCTGGGTGAGAACAAACAAGCCCTATCAAGGGATTAAAGCACAGATGATGAAAGCATGAGCACTAGTATGGAAAGGACAATTGTAACCAGCTGGCTCTCAGATCTATCTCCCAGTGTGGCTGGAAACTGCCTGCAGGGGTTAGTGACATAAACCCCCTATTTATGTCTAGTCTATATTAATATAACTTTTATACATTTGGT